TTGGTTGATCCATGTTTCAAACATTTTCCAGCTACATGAAACCACAATTTTTGTTCAACCATCCTTCCTATCGTCATATCTGTCTGTCCAAACATGCCATCAACTGATAACGGTATCCAACCATGGAATGGTGCACCCAAGTTTTTGAGTGAAATCTCCAAGAAACATCGTTTTTTTAATCAAAATATACGGCGAAACCCTCGTGGAAATCGTCGCGTCCTGCAGCAGACTCAAAGCCTGGCTCCACTGAAGAGCCAAGGTGCAGGCGCGCATCGCGGAGCTACACCTGACTGCGGCAGGGGGCCTGAAGATGTATCCCATTGTATTCCCATGATTATCCTAGGATTTTCCAATAATTAAACCATCAATATATATAATATAGTTGTATATCCCATTATAATATTCATTTATACGCCATTAAATACCCATTACAGTATTCTTATGGAACATCACCATTTCTCGGTAAATCATCCTATGAATGGGCCATGGCCTTTTCCTCTCCCCAGCTCGTCCAAGCGGCGTAATCAGGTCTGGGTCCTGGACACCAATGTTGGAATGTCGGAATTCGGAAGTGGCCCATATGTGTATGTCATTTACAAATAGCAGTACTATTATGATCTATTATGCATACTGTATATCAATGTATATTATATATATATATGGATAACCCTTTTTCTAAATACACATGCATTCACTCACTTTGCCAGCATATTTTTAATATCACATATCAGCTGCTATCCCGTGCTCACTGCCAAGAAATGTAGGGTCTGGCTGCCAATTCCCAAAAGGATGTGGATAGAAGTTGGGCACCCCAAAACATGACGGCTGTGACCCGCCAAAACCAAACATATTGACCCATACCTACCTGGAAAACCAATATCACATCGCCATTTTCAAGAAGAACAGATGTTTGAATTCCACCTTAATTTCCAGATGTTTATCCTTTTTTCGAAAACAACATCCACCCCAAAAATTGCCGTGGATCATCCACCCCGATCTCCTCATCCCTGGCCAAAAGCTCCAAGGTATGCCTCCAGGCACCCCCAACTTCGCCTCAGGGATTGAAGGGAACATCTGCAGGAAACATGGTTATTCTGACCAAACAGGATTTCATAGGGGGTCTTTCCTGTAAATGTTCCCTCCAACCAGTAGCCAAATGATTTATGGGACTTGGAAGGAAAACACCGACAACAACACTAAACCTTGGCTTCTGGGGGACACTGATTAATAGGTGGCGAACATTGTGCCAGGACAAACATGATGTTTCGATCATGAACCATGGCAAAGAAAACTTTTGATCGTTGACGGCAGAATCATCAAAACATCCATATAGCGTATATTGTAATACATTATATGCCACTGGGGCTTCGCAGAAAGTACATTTTTCTATTGCCAGGTTTTTTGTCTTCACAAACTCCCTGGCTCCAAATGATTCCATTGTTAACTGCTCAAGGCCAAACATGTGCTGCCTGATATCTATCCTGACTTTGTTGGATTAAATTCCTTTGGTTCCGTTCACCGGTGATTCTTCCCATTTCACGTGCTAAATCCATTTAACCCCCCACTTTGGGGTACATCTCAGAGATTAGGAGAGGGTACCAACATGTACCAACCATATTCTAAGCTACTCAGAATGCAGAATTTCCCCAGTAAAAATCACTCGCCAACTGTAAATCTGCAGCATTTTGGGCCAGGGCACAGGCGTTCACCGCAGCACTCAAGGCCACCCTGCTGAGTTCAACCAGCTGTGCTTCAGCTTTCGACAAGAGATGCAACGCAGCAGACCACTTCCTAAACCAACTGGGTGGCGTTTTGTTGGCGTGAAAAATGGGCAACATCATATCCGAAAGGGATGAATGTCATTCACCAAGCTGATGATTTGAATGATTTTTGAGACGTGAGGGTCTGTCAAGGGCCATCTGACATGTTGAACATCTGACAGTGGCAGTGATTCCACCTTTGGTATGCTCATTTTTTAATTTCCAGGGTCAAGGGGTACGGTACGGTCCAAGCATGTCCATACACCCAGGGAGGTTCACTCCTTGGGCTCCAGCCTATCAAGATAGAAAAACAATGGTGTTAAATAAAATCCATGGTCCTCAACCTAGGGCAAGAGAACATCTTATATGTTTTGTTACTACATATCTATATTTCATTTTTTCTATCCATGTAACGAACCCTTAACATGTGCAGAATTAATCCATTTGTTGATATCACATATATATATATATGGTACCCCCCAAGACTTACCTTTCAAGCAAATTTAGTGGTATTTATAGAGTTTTTCTAAACATTTTGGACTCTAAAACTTAGGGCCTTAGGGCATTTTTTCGTGATCAAACACCGCATTTTTTTGCATTCTTCTTCCCATCTCACCCGTCCCAAAGTACATTGAATCCAAGATTCGAGATTCCAAAAAAACTTCTTGAATCAAAGGGGGTAGGATTCAAGATTCAAGATCCCAAAAAAACTTCTTGGATCCAAGGGGGTAGGATTGAAGATTCAAGATCCCAAAAAGACTTCTTGAATCCGAAGGCCTTCAGCCTTGAATCTTGAATCTTGAATCCAAAGAGGTTGGATAAAAGACACAATAAAACATATAGGATCTTTCGAAGTAAAAATGCATATTCACCCAATTTTAGAAACTCCTTTAACACCTTTACACATATCACAAAATTAAGATCTTTAAACATGTAAGACAATTTATTGTATGACAAATATATTAAACACTGACTTAATAATTTAGTATCAAAATCATTTATGTTTAACAAATAAGATATCTAACTCAAGCACTCCTGGATTTAAAGCAATGAAATTACAAGATCATCTGTATTGTACCAATTTAAACAAATGAATCATTACAGCAAAAAAACAACTCTTCTACAAAAAAAAGATTATAGATGCTGAAGAAACAACTAATGGAAATAACGTAGATTCACAAGAACCAAAAAGACAATTAACACCAAATGAGAATATGAGTGATGATTGCCAATTTACTACGCAAAGCTTGATGGAATGTTATGAAATTGTAGGAGGATTAAAAAGGTAATTGCGTTGTAAAATCAATATGTCCAAAAAAATAGCTGGAGATCAGTCTTATACATATCTATTGTACTTTTTACACCTTTATTATCTGCAAAATCTTACGTAAATAAACATGTAAAACCTCAAGATGAAATTAGTAAACATAAATTCCACCGGTAGTCATTATAAGAAACTACCTTACAAAAACTTGTATTCATTAAAAAGAGTAAAGCATAATATGCTATACTCTGTTGTAAAAACAAACTAAATTTCAATCCATCTATTCCCCTAATCAATATTGCGGCAAGTCCTAAATAAAGGTTATGTAAAATTACCAAATGTTGTAGAAGATACTGAAAAATCAGACTTGCAAGCATCAGATCATAGATATAAAATTTGTGTTGATATATTAAACATGTCTGAAAGCATAAAAAAGAAAACATTAAGTATAATTAAAAATAATCATAGATATAAAATTTGTGTTGATATATTAAACATGTCTGAAAGCATAAAAAAGAAAACATTAAGTATAATTAAAAATAATGATATATATATATGTCAAATATAGATGTTACAGCGCTATGCTGCAGCTACATATGTGGGCAGGATGTGTCCAGGCACATGCGCCCAAGATACTTTCCTGATGCAGTGCTGCAATAGGTGATAAGATAAGAAGGAAGACAAGGCATTCAGGAACATACCTGCTTCTGTACACAAAAGGTAGGTCTTGGGGGAGTTGCACATAACTCATATATATATATATCTTTGAAGTAAACCTTCAGGATTAAATTTTGGCAGTACAAACGGGTATCTTACATGGGTTACGTCGACTGCAGCCCTAGACATATACATATTCACCCCGCTTCGCGTGGGGTGGCCGCCCACACCGCAAGTTTATTTCGGTCCGTGAGAGGGGCTAAGGGTGGTTTTCCCCCGTGTGGGCTCCCCAAGCTAAGAGTTTTCACTTTTCCCCCCCGTGGGGGCTCCCCAAGCTAGGGAATTTTCACTTTTCCCCCCCGTGGGGGCTCCCCAAGCTAGGGAATTTTCACTTTTCCCCCCCGTGAAGGCTCCCCAAGCTAGGGAATTTTCACTTTTCCCCCCCGTGGGGGCTCCCCAAGCTAGGGAATTTTCACTTTTCCCCCCTGTGGGGGCTCCCCAAGCTAGGGAATTTTCACTTTCCCCCCCCGTGGGGGCTCCCCAAGCTAGGGAATTTTCACTTTCCCCCCCCGTGGGGGCGTCCCAAGCTAGGGAATTTTCACTTTTCCCCGCCGTGACAGCTTCCCAAGCTATGGAATTTTCACTTTTCCCTCCCTTGGAGACTCTCCAAGCTGCGGAATTTCAAATAGCTAGACAACGACGCCTAGATAGTCCCCCAAATCCCGTGTTCTTTGAATGTGTTTCCATGTTTTTGCAATGGTTTCCTTCAAAGCACGGTACTTTACACTTTTGTCGCCATGAAACCGGTCGAAAACATCATGTTCGACAATGCTTCCAATTCCCTTATCTCCCCAACCGTTGAAAATACCGCTATTTACAGTGTTTTATTCAATTTTTCCATGTTCCAATGCCGGTAGCCAACTCCAACATATATATAAGAAATCCTTCCAAAACATTGTTTTTGACAGTGTTTTTCCAATGTTTCCAGTCAAACAGAAGGTAATTTACACGTTTTTTGCCATAAAGGCAGTAAATCCTTCCAAAACATTGTTTTTGACAGTGTTTTTGTAATGTTCCCAGTCAAGCATACGGTAATTTACACGTTTTTTGCTATAACGTCAGTCCAAAACACTTGTTTTTGCAGTGTTTTCAATGCTCTGGCATCCAAAAACCCTGCAAAATCTTGCTATGTACAATGTTTTTTCATTTTTGGCCGTTTTTCCATTGCCGGAAAGCTACCAAAATGACCCAAAATTCCATTTCAATACCCTCTTGCGCTCAGACACCCAAAAATCTTCGAAAAATGTCGAAAACACCACCGTATTCTGGTCTCGGTGCGAAACCGTTTTTGGGGCCCCCCCCCCAGCTAAAGCTGATATAGCGACTGCTATATTAACAAATGTCATTGAGCATTTAGTGTTGCTGTTGCCCCCCAATAAGCACGCCTTCACCGCCAAAGCGGTGTGGGCGGATTTATTAAAAAAGTTTTCTAATTACCAACATTGGGTGCTCCCGCCAGTGAAATCAAACTTTTCCAAAAGAATCAAGTCTCCTCCCTCGAGCGCAGCTTCCCAGGGCTGAGCCAATTACCTGAGGATAAAGCAAAATCGGAACGCAATGGCCGAGTAAGTAGTGGCTTCAGGATCGTTGAAACCCAGTCAATGTAAACAACAGGTAGGTAAAATACCTAGGTAGATAGGCCGATCTTTTTATTGTAGCCCACAAGAGGGCTAGGCTACACGCCTTTTTCGTCCTTCTTCAAGGTGTGCAGTGCCGGTTGCAACGATCTCTTCCTAGTGATTTCCACAATCCGCAGGCCAAACTCCAGCAATCCACCCTTACTACAGCTGCATGGCTCGAAAACGGGCAACATGGAAGGGATTGTAGTACTTCTAGAAAGGACGCATACACACATGTGGACCTATACAATATCTTCTACAACAACATGTGAGCAAATCAACAGATTTCAGAAGCGTTTGCTCCATAAATAATGCTCCATTTGTATCGTCAAAACTAACCTCCACTGGACCAACCGTTTGCTGTTCCAATGGTCCAAGTGACCACCGTGTTGGCCTCCACCCGGAACTTCCCCAGGTCTTCGAACAGGGCCAGGCTCTGTTGCCATGCGCTGGCGCTTCTGCAGGCGTTCATGGCGGATGCTAAGGTCACCACATCCTGGGGCACCGGTGGTGGCTGGGGTAGTCACAAACGGGTCTAGTACCCCGTACCTACCTCTTGCTTACTAGCTTCATAGCTGAAAATTTGCGATCCCCCCTTTGATTTTTTGACCCATCTTCACATAGTATGTAAATCTGGAGGAGTTTAGGGAGTTAGATCTCCAAAATATGTGGTTCAACTGCTGTGAAGCTGTGAAATCAGATTTCTGTTGGATGAAGAAAGCTTAGCAACACAACATAGTGCACAAATACAGTAGGTGGTCTCCGTCGCCACATCCCCAGATGGGTTTATCATTGGGTTGCCCACATTATGCGACATTCAAAGTTGTAAATATTCAACTATTATCACCGTATCGCCCAATTAGCAGCCATCATGGACCCATGATTAAACATCATTATAACCACATTAATGATTGTTAGTAAGGATATTCACCACAATAATGGTTGATTGCCATTATTATCCACATTGCGCACATCAACTTCCCATTTTTTCCTCTCGGACTTGGCCCAGACTCCACTGGCAGCGCTGTTTTTCGCACGGCCGCCAACAGCGTCAAGGCCTCTGTCCAGCGTTCGGCCTTGTCGCAGGCGCTGATCCTGGGTGCTCAGGAGGCAGGGCGTTTCCATCGGGGATCTCCAATAACTGGATGGTTTATTTCATGGAAATCCCTATTAAAATGGATGATTTGGGGGTACTCCCATTTTAGGAAACTTTCATGTAGCAACTCCCAAAAAAAGATAAGAACTAATGGATACAAATGGTAGAATCCTACGAAGATATCTAAAATAATGCGAACATAACGGTAATTGTTGCTTTCCTGCATCTTTTTTGAAGGGGTTACTCGATATCTAGCAAATTCAGTGTGGATCCATCTCGTGACATGTTGATCTTTTTGACCAATGTTAGCCCATCTTGTTCCACTCGAATCCATTTCGCGGGTTTATAGCAAACATTACTGTAAAACTAAAACGCAAATCATCAAAATCAAGAATCTATTGTTTTCCGGAAAATCATAGGCAATCTATTTGGATTCGTTTGGTTTGATGTAATTCAGGTTCCTCCTTTCACTGTGGGTTCAGAGAACACCCAGTGATTCTCTTGAAATTCCAACTTGCCATCTCCACTGGCGAATTATGGTGCAGTAAAATCCTCTTCCGTTTCCGTGTAGTCCATCTTGGTTTGGTGGGGGCCGTAATGAAGGACTTAGATGATTCCCTTGGACTTTCGCGACTTGAGTCAAGGGGCGCGGCATTGTAGGAGAAAATGTCGGCTTCCAACTTCCTGCAACGGAGGGCTGACCATGAAACGAGGGAAACCGAGCTTTCCGGCTGGATATTGAGCAAGCTGTTGGGCATACCCCCATGGCTGTTGCCTCATGAAACGGCCCTATCACTGTGTAATATCGTGTCGATATTTCCTGAAATCTGATTGTTGCTAATCGATGTTCCTCCTTACAAGTGTTCTGCCAGAATACGATGCCAACAAACACACCTAATGCATACAGTACATACTACATAGCATATAGTATATTGTACGTAGTATATAGATATATAGATTATACATACACATGTATATAATACATGGTGAATATAATTAATATATATATATATTTAATATATCTCAAAAATAGTATATGGTATATGGCGGATAGAGTACTGTATATATATATATACATGTAGTACCATGTAGTAATTATGTCATCCTCTACGGACCCTTCCAGGTTACAGAAGTTTCATACACCCAGCCTCAAGAGTTTGGCTTTAATCAGGTCAATCCCCAGTTGGTGGGTTTCCTAAAATGGGGTACCCCAACTTCTCATGTTTTTTTCTCTCCATACTAAGTCAAGGCCATTCATGACTTGGATGATTTGAGGCATTCTCATGACTTAGGAAACCTCCATTTTAGATCGCTTTTCCCAGGGAAACCATTGGTTTGCCCACATCTATGTGAGTTTAATGTAGGGTATATCATGGTATATCCATGTATGTACCCATATTTGGGTAGTTAAAACCTCCACATCCCAACCGGTCCCAAGCTCCCAGTCCTGGATGCCATGTCTCCAATCAGCTCCAAAGCCTTCCTCCACTCTGCCGCTCGTTCGCAGGCGCTGACAGCGGAGCTGTAGACGATGACGTCCGCGGCGCGCCGGAGCAGCAGTTCCTAGGGAGCTGCGAAAGAAAGGGGAACCCAAAATGCCTGGAAAATGGCTGGCCAATGCTATTGGCGGGTGTATTTTGTTTGGACTATTTTTTCCCCACCTGCCAGGTGAGGGTTGTTAGACTTTATCAGAGCTGTTCTCCTCCTCCGCCTCCGCATCCTCCTCCTCCATCTCCTCCGCCTCCTCCTCCTCGCAGTCCAGATCCCAGTGGGCACAGCCGGACCTCCACCGCGAGCGCCAGATCGCAGTGGGCACTGCCGGACCTCCACCGCGAGCTCAAGATCCCAGTGGGCACTGCCGGACCTCAACCGCGACTTCCAGGTTGCAGTGGGCACTGCCGGACTTCAACTGCGACTTCCAGATCGCAGTGGGCACTGCCGGACCTCAACCGCGACTTCCAGGTCGCAGTGGGCACTGCCGGACCTCAACCACAGCTCCAGATCCCAGTGGGCACTGCCGGACCTCAACGGCCAGATAGAATGCCAGAAGATATGCCACATGGAATGTCAGATAGAATGCCAGAAGATATGTCAGATAAAATGTCAGATAGAATGCCAGAAGATATGCCAGATAGAATGCCAGAAGATATGTCAGATAGAATGCCAGAAGATATGCCAGATAGAATGCCAGAAGATATGCCAGATAGAATGCCAGAAAATATGCCAGAAGATATGCCAGATAGATATGTCAGAAGATATGCCAGAAGATATGCCAGAAGATATGCCAGAAGATATGCCAGAAGATTTGCCAGATAGAATGCCAGAAGATATGCCAGAAGATATGCCAGAACATATGCCAGAAGATATGCCAGAAATAATGTCAGAAAGAATGTCAGAAGATATGCCAGACAGAATGTCAGAAGATATGTCAGATAGAATGCCAGAAGATTTGCCAGAACATATGCCAGATAGAATGCCAGAAGATATGTCAGATAAAATGTCAGATAGAATGCCAGAAGATATGCCAGATAGAATGCCAGAAGATTTGCCAGATAGAATGCCAGAAGATTTGCCAGAACATATGCCAGATAGAATGCCAGAAGATATGTCAGATAGAATGCCAGAAGATTTGCCAGTGAGAAAATGTATAAATGCCATGGTGGGGATCATTCGAAGTGAAGTAATTGTATGTTTTTTCTTTTTGAGATCCATGTTTAAGCTTAAAGATGTTTATCCGTATTTCATGTCTATATTATAGATGTTCATTGGGAGGAGGTGCCTGTATACAGAATGGGGATTTCGGTGGATTTCCTTTGCCAGGTTTGTTCAAGAGGTATATCATATTATATATGGTATATCATCTATGAATGCGAGATTGCTCGATGCCAGTTGAAGTTGCCAAAGAGCAGGATTCCTATAACTGGAAAAACATTTTCGAACGCATTTTTTTGGCATCCCCCCTGAGGATATTGCAGAGAAGTCAAAGTGGCGCCGCGGAACACCCACTGTGCATGGCATATGTTGTAAATCGCAATTTTAGACAGAGGTGAATCAGTCACTTCATCACTTATACATGTATATATATATATTTATCTATATTTATATATCTATATTTATAAAGAGTAATCAGTATGTGTGTATGTATATATGTATATGATATATATATATACATGACATACATAGGGAGAGAGAGAGAGAGGGAGATGATGTTGCTATTCAAAATAATGGCTTGGCAGTATCGAAGAAGCGCGGATACCCCGATTCTGTCCACAAAAAGGATGCCATTTGGATATGAATTTGTGGCCCTTACCAATTTCGGAAAAACCATTGATGACCAGATATAAAAATGCACAAACTCAACTCAACTCTACCCACTCTTAGAGGTGAAACTGTCCCAATCAACTCAGAGGCAACCCGCTGCATCAATAGCCCATTTGACCCGTGCAAAAATTGCATCATTATTATGCCCTTAATGCCCTTGAAACCTAAAACCAATTCTTGCATGCACGCATAAATTTTGCAGATTCAACAGTCCAAACCAAATCCAGATCAGTTCCATTCCTTTGCTTAAAAAACACCCATTGTTCCTGGTCGCCCTCTATTTCTATGCATGACCTATCTGAGATACCCTTGACAAAATCCACCTTTTGATGGTTAGTAATATATGACACGATATTACACGGCAATTGTCATTTGTGGCAAACGGTGAAACGGCAAGTCATTTTCTAGATTGTAAGATGCAAATCCATCCTTTTCCTAGTCTTTCCACATGAAACCAACCGCCAGCAGCCTCCAACAAGACGACTGCTTCACGCCACTTCCCAGCGATGCCGCAGGCGCTTAAAGCTGCGCTGGTCGCGATCAAGTTGCGTGCTGCGCGCCTGCGGCTAGTCTAGCAAAGGGGCCCCAAACGATAGGCAAGTTGGTTTCCAACTAGGCCAGCTGGGATTTTAGAATTGATATTTCATGATATGTTACAGCTGGATGGGTTTATGGATTGCGTAGGGGCCCTCTTCGTAGATACCTTGTCTTGCACAAACACATATCAATTCTTAGCTCTCCAGTCTAATTTCTCAAGTATGGCAGAAAATTATTCCACTCCAACCAGCCAAACCTAGGTTGACGCTGTAATTAAGCAAAAACGATGGCTTGGCCCACCAACAAACGTAGGTTTTGAGAAAGAATGCCGGTGAATTCTATATGGTCTTGAGAAAGAACAACGGTGAAATCTATCTAACTACTGCAGGATGATTATCTATACATGGGGAGAACCAATAGTGGTATTTTGGCCCAAGAGGGGGGTAGTAGCCCCTCGCCTTTTGACTTGGCGAAGGAAAACCAAAAAGTCATGCTTTATGACGCGTGATCCCACCAACAAATCAGCGTTTCCAAAAGGCGAGGGGCTACTACCCCCCTCTTGGGCCAAAATACCACTATTGGTTCTCCCCATGTATAGATAATCATCCTGCAGTAGTTAGATAGATTTCACCGTTGTTCTTTCTCAAGACCATATAGAATTCACCGGCATTCTTTCTCAAAACCTACGTTTGTTGGTGGGCCAAGCCATCGTTTTTGCTTAATTACAGCGTCAACCTAGGTTTGGCTGGTTGGAGTGGAATAATTTTCTGCCATACTTGAGAAATTAGACTGGAGAGCTAAGAATTGATATGTGTTTGTGCAAGACAAGGTATTAATGTTTGGGGGGGGGTTATTAATTGCATGTCAACATTATAAGGAAATCCCATCTGCAGAGGATGTGGCTATTGAACATGGGGATTTTGCATTGCCAGGCCACAGTGAACATAGTATCAATCGAACTCTGCAAATTTACCAAATCTCTACAATACTTTCAGCCAATTTTGGGGGGGTCAAGTGGAAACGCCCCAGAAGTTATCCCAAAAAACATCTGTTTCCCCGGCCTCTTTGGCATCGTGTCCTTGGTTTGGTGCCGACATGTGCACCCTCCACAAGGGGCCAAGCTCCTATGGCCATGGCAAACATGGCAGTGGAAATCCTCAATAATCCTCACCTTTCAAACATGTTGACAGGAAAATCACATGTCAATCGAGGCATTGTTTGCTGGCTGCCAGGTGAACCAATGAGACATGGCCCGGTCAGCCAAGACTCCAAAACGGCCAGGGCATCTTCCCAAAGGCCTCCCTTCCCGCAGGCGCTGATCAAGGCGCTGAAAGTGATGACATCAGCGTCCAGCTGCAGCTTGTCCAGGGAGAGGGACAGCCTGAAATACGGCTTCGGTGGGGCAGCAACCCCTCAACGAGGTTGCTCCCACCCAAATGTAAGGGGGGGTAAAAGGCCGAAGAAAGTAACAAAATACCACATTGTCATATGTCCACCCTTGGTGGCCATGATTTACCTATAATCGGTTGGGGCGATTCTACTTCAAGTTGGAGCAGCTTCCCAGATCACCCCAAGTGAAATTGACGCAAATCTGATCAAATCTGTACATAGTCATAGTCAAACATCTTGCTGGACATCGTTAGAATTGCGGCTGGGGCAACCGCCCAGGCTCAATCTCATACTCATATTCCCCTTGAATTGCGTGGAAACCAGAATAACGGATAGCATTTGTCGCAATCAAGGACTAGCTGGATCTAGCTGGTGCATGTCAATCTAGGTTTATCCTTTGGAATTTTCGACACCCAGGCCCCAAACTTGCCCAGCACCATCAAGACCATAGGAACTCCAAAGCAGTTGGCCACTCTGTAGCCTTCTCACACGCGGAGATTGCAGCCTAGGCATGTGGAAGTGGGATTTGACCACGGTTCTTAAACCTAGAGAGCCGTGTGCCCGTGTGCCCGTGTGCCCGGAGGGCCGTGAGGAGACCTATCTCGAGACCTATGCGAAATGAGTCTGAATACAAAGGGATGTCTCCAAGCTTGGAGGATGCTCCAGAGAAGCGCTGTCGTTGGCACCAAGTTGGCGCCCAATCTTCCAAAAACCACCAGTTCCATGTTAAAATGTTTTTTCAATAGGATGATTTAGTGGGACATCTAGAGCAGAACAATGTTTTTTTCCATCATGGTTCGACATAATTCTTTTCTTGCAGACTCGACCCCCTGGGAGGAGCGGCATTGACTGTGACGACATCTGGCTGAATCTCGTGGATGTCCATCGTGTCCAAAATGGCCAACGCCATCTGCCACCTGCTCGTTCCGAAAATATCAGGCTGCTGGCCATCCCGGCCATCCCATCCAGGAAACATCCCAGCTATGAAAAAACACATTTATAATCATTTATAACTTATAACCATTTAATACATTTCATTTATATACTGTATGATATTTTGAAACCACCATCACACCATCCTGCTAATCTTGCTACATACCGGTAATCCTCCTGACATAGGAAACGAATGGAACACATAGATAAAATAAGCCTGCAAACTTTCCATTACAGCATCTGAACTGCTCCAAAAATAAATCGTCTTGGCTGAAAGGCTCATACGAGGTGATGGGAGTTCGAGCCGATTGATTTTTCCCCAGGTATGGCCCTGAGTCAAACTTGGTCCCCGAATAAATAAATAGATACAATTATAGTACATACCGTTATTATAGAAGATATTCAGGAATTATCGGAAAACCGATCTTCTATTTGAAACGGGTTTGGACGCGCGGAAAAATCCATTTCAAATAGAAGATAAATTAATTCAATGACCCAAAATGGTAGAACATCCGGGATGTTGGAGCTACTTTGGCACTCTCCGCAACCATGGCCCCGGGAGGGTCCAAACTAATATCTTCTATTTAAAAACCATTTAGACCAACACCAAAAGCACAAACTTGGTGGATCATCCAACCGAATATCTTCTATTTAAAAAATGGTTTGTCGCACAATCTTGTTCTGAAAATTTGGGGTTGGCATAATGAATATCTTCTATTTGAAATGGTCTTTTCCGCTTCCCCATTGGTTGTTTGACAATATCTTCTATTTGAAAAAGGTTTGTCGGCCAATCTTGTTTTGAGAATTTGGAGTAAATATGGGTAAATACATGTGCATATAATGAATATCTTCTATTTGAAATGGTCTTTTCCGCTTCCCCATTGGTTGTTTGACAATATCTTCTGTTTGAAAATGGTTTGTCGGCCAATCTTGTTTTGAGAATTTGGGAAAATAATGCCAGTATCTTCTATTTGAAAACGGAATTTCCGTGTTTTTTCTGGGCTTGTGATGGGAACCTCATTTGAAAACGGGATTTCCGTGTCTTTGTGGGCTTTTCTGGAAAATAATGCCAATATCTTCTATTTGAAAACGGGATTTCCCTTTTTTTGGGCTTGTGATGGGAACCTCTGAAAATAATGCCAATATGATCCAATATGTTCTATTTGAAAACGGAATTTCCGTGTTTTTTTCTGGGCTTGTGATGGGAACCTCATTTGAAAACGGGATTTCCGTGTCTTTTTGGGCTTTTCTGAAAAATAATGCCAATATCTTCTATTTGAAAACGGGATTTCCTTTTTTTTGGGCTTGTGATGGCAACCTCTGGAAAATAATGCCAATATCTTCTATTTGAAAACGGAATTTCCGTGTTTTTTTCTGGACTTGTGATGGGAACCTCATTTGAAAACGTGATTTCCGTGTCTTTTTGGGCTTTTCTAGAAAATAATGCCAATATCTTCCATTTGAAAACGGGATTTCCCTTTTTTTGGGCTTGTGATGGGAACCCCTGGAAAATAATGCCAATATCTTCTATTTGAAAACGGAATTTCCGTGTTTTTTCTGGGCTTGTGATGGGAACCTCATTTGAAAACGGGATTTCCGTGTCTTTTTGGGCTTTTCTGAAAATAATGCCAATATCTTCTATTTGAAAACGGAATTTCCGTGTTTTTCTGGGCTTGTGATGGGAACCTCATTTGAAAACGTGATTTCCGTGTCTTTTTGGGCTTTTCTAGAAAATAATGCCAATATCTTCTATTTGAAAACGGGATTTCCCTTTTTTTGGGCTTGTGATGGGAACCTCTGGAAAATAATGCCAATATGATCCAATATGTTCTATTTGAAAACGGAATTTCCGTGTTTTTTTCTGGGCTTGTGATTGGGAGCCTCATTTGAAAAACGGGATGTCAGTTGGTGCTTTTGGGATTTTCTGGAAAAATGCCAAAATATCTTCTATTTGAAACGGGATTTCCTTTTTTGGATTGTGAGGGAACCTCTGGAAAATAATGCCAATATCTTCTATTTGAAAACGGAATTTCCGTGTTTTTTCTGGGCTTGTGATGGGAACCTCATTTGAAAACGGGCTTTCCGTGTCTTTTTGGGCTTTTCTGGAAAATAATGCCAATATCTTCTATTTGAAAACGGAATTTCCGTGTTTTTTCTGGGCTTGTGATGGGAACCTCATTTGAAAACGTGATTTCCGTGTCTTTTTGGGCTTTTCTGAAAAATAATGCCAATATCTTCTATTTGAAAACGGGATTTCCTTTTTTTTGGGCTTGTGATGGGAACCTCTGGAAAATAATGCCAATATGATCCAACATGTTCTATTTGAAAACGGAATTTCCGTGTTTTTTTCTGGGCTTGTGATGGGAACCTCATTTGAAAACGGGATTTCCGTGTCTTTTTGGGCTTTTCTAGAAAATAATGCCAATATCTTCTATTTGAAAACGGGATTTCCCTTTTTTTGGGCTTGTGATGGGAACCTCTGGAAAATAATGCCAATATCTTCTATTTGAAAACGGAATTTCCGTGTTTTTTCTGGGCTTGTGATGGGAACCTCATTTGAAAACGGGATCCGTGTCTTTTTGGGCTTTTCTGGAAAATAATGCCAATATCTTCTGTTTGAAAACGGGATTTCCCTTTTTTTGGGCTTGTGATGGGAACCTCTGGAAAATAATGCCAATATGATCCAATATGTTCTATTTGAAAACGGAATTTCCGTGTTTTTTTCTGGGCTTGTGATGGGAACCTCATTTGAAAACGTGATTTCCGTGTCTTTTTGGGCTTTTCTGAAAAATAATGCCAATATCTTCTATTTGAAAACGGGATTTCCTTTTTTTTGGGCTTGTGATGGCAACCTGGCAACCTCTGGAAAATAATATCAATATCTTGAATTTGAAAACGGAATCTCCGTGTTTTTTCTGGGCTTGTGATGGGAACCTCATTTGAAAACGGACGGGATTTCCGTGTCTTTTTGGGCTTTTCTGGAAAATAATGCCAATATCTTCTATTTGAAAACGGGATTTCCCTTTTTTTGGGCTTGTGATGGGAACCTCTGGAAAATAATGCCAATATCTTCTATTTGAAAACGGGATTTCCCTTTTTTAGGCTTGTGATGGGAACCTCTGGAAAATAATGCCAATATCTTCTATTTGAAAACGGGATTTCCGTTGTTTTTTTTTGGCTTGTGATGGCAACCTCTGGAAAATAATATCAATATCTTCTATTTGAAAACGTAATTTCCGTGTTTTTCTGGGCTTGTGACGGGAACCTCATTTGAAAACTGGATTTCCGTGTCTTTGTGGGCTTTTCTGGAAAATAATGCCAATATCTTCTATTTGAAAACGGGATTTCCCTTTTTTTGGGCTTGTGATGGCAACCTCTGGAAAATAATGCCAATATCTTCTATTTGAAAACGGAATTTCCGTGTTTTTTCTGGGCTTGTGATGGGAACCTCATTTGAAAACGGGATTTCCGTGTCTTTTTGGGCTTTTCTGAAAATAATGCCAATATCTTCTATTTGAAAACGGAATTTCCGTGTTTTTTCTGGGCTTGTGATGGGAACCTCATTTGAAAACGGGATTTCCGTGTCTTTTTGGGCTTTTCTGGAAAATAATGCCGATATCTTCTATTTGAAAACGGAATTTCCCTTTTTTTGGGCTTGTGATGGGAACCTCTGGAAAAAAACCGAATATCTTCTATTTGAAAACGGGATAGAAGCGGGACCCAGCCGGAGGTACTTTTGCACTCCCCTCTTCGGCGGGTCACCCGGGTCTGGGCGTCAATGTTCTATTGATTTTATTTTTTTAAAAAAAAACCTGCAAAAAATCACAAAAAATTACAGTGGGACAAAAGATTTTCAAATAGACGATATTGCAAACATCATCCCAATGTTGATGGTTGCAAAGTGCAAAAGTAGTTCAAAAGACCAACAATCCAACAGTAACCCCTTCAACATTGGGATGATCTTTGCAATATCTTCTATTTGAAAACTGTTTTTCATGCATTTGGGATCTGTCGAACTCATGGGGTTACAAATGAATATCTTCTATTTGAAAACAATTTGGTGGAACTCTCTGGGTTCCCTCATGAAATATTATCTTCTATTTGAAAAGTGTTTTTCAGTACTCCTCGAATATCTTCTATTTGAAAAATAAATAGCATTACAGATTATCTTCTATTTGAAAAGTGGTTTGAATCACCATCCCTCAATCAAAAAAGCTAAAAAACCCATGGTTTTCGAACAGTTTTTCACCGACCCCCCCCTCGAAGGCGAGAATGCCAAAGTACCTCCGGCCGGGTCCCACTTCGGGAGGTACTTTGGCACTCTCCTCTTCGGGGGGTCACCCAGGTCCGGGCGTCAATGTTCTATTGATTTTAGATAATTCCCCTGCAAAAAACACAAAAAATGGCAGTGGGACAAAAGATTTTCAAATAGAAGATATTCCAAAGATCATCCCAATGTTGAGGGGTTTATTCTTGGATTTTTGGTCATTTGAACTACTTTTGCACTCTGCAATATCTTCTATTTGAAACGCGTTTGGCCGCACACCCAAAAAGCATCTTCTATTTGAAATAATTCCTGAATATCTTCTATAATAACGGTATGTACTATAATCAGTATGTTAGTCAATAAATTAAACATTATATCAGCCATTACATAAATCATTACATTAATCATTATATTATTAATCATTATATTAGCCATTATAAACGTCATTAAATGAATCATGAAATGAACCATTACATTTATCATTATATGAATCATTAAATTAATCACTATATTAATTATATTAGTCATTGCATTAGGCGTTATATGAACCATTACATTGATCATTATATGAATCATGATAATAATCATGAGATTAATCATTAAATTCTTCATTTTAATAATCATTAAATTAATCATTATATAAATCATGATATTAATCATGGTATTGATCATTTTATTACTCATTTTATTAATCATTATATTAATCATTATATGAGTCATTATATTCATGAAAAAATAAGTCATTACATTAATCATTATATTAATCATTATATTAGTCATTATAGAAGTCATTAAATGAACTTTGTTTTTTCCATGGTTTTTTTTGCAGTTTGGCCTGGGGGGCGCAGGTGTGCAAATTGTAGAGACGCGCATTTTTTTGAGAGGTACTGTGATGAAAGCATCTTCACATGAAAAACATTCAAAACAACAATGGAAAAAACAAAAAAAACAAAAAAAACAAAAGTTCAGACCCATGGGCAAGGTCTGGGGAGAGGCCTGGCAGGGGACATGGGTCTGAACTTTTTGTTTTTTTTTTTGTTTTTCCATGGTTTTTTGCAGTTTGGCCAAAACCTCGAGAACACTAAAAAAAACAAAAAACAAAAACAAAAAGTTCAGACCCATGGGCAAGGTCTGGGCTATCCACACACAAACCAAAAAAACAAAAAAACAAAAAACCAAAAAAAAAACAACAAAAAAAAACAAGATTGCACACCCCAAGGGGAGGGGGTCAGATGCAGAGTGTTGGGTCTTGTCTTTTTTTTTTTGTGTTTTGTTGTTTTTTTGTTTTTTTTGTTTTTTTGGTTTTTTGGTTTGTGTGTGGATAGCCATTGCAGATGTGCCAAGCAGAGATTGCCAGGCACTGTCAGTGGTTGCACTAGAAGCAAGGTCGATACACTACAGTACAGCAATGTTTGCTATGACATAGTGCATTCAGCCAATGAACAGCAGAGAGGAATGGCATTCAATTTTGTCCGGTTGCGCCATATGCTGTTGGATCTTTGCACAGGAAATGCTGCAATTTGCGCACTCCCACAGTGGCCTGTTCTGAAAAAAAAAGGGTGTCATTGTTTGGAAGTTTGATCTGGGTTCGTTCTATAAGGATGTAAGGTTTGTGCGTTTCACTGTCTTGGGGTCCCTGATTTTATTCGCTTCGTGTGTTTCACTGGTCTTGGGGTCCCTGATTTTATTAGCTTTGTGCGTTTCACTGGTCTTGGGGTACCAAGTGTTTAACAGCTTATAAAACAGATCTAGCAAGTTCAAAGACCATCAAACATCAAGCGGAACCAGACATTCTGAACTTGGGGCATCCATTACGGGTGAAGGATCAAAAAAAAATATTATTGGGATCAAAAAAAATTATTATTTAGGGATCAAAAAAAATATTATGGGGATCCAAAAAATATTATTAGGATTCATACTAATAGTAATAATAATGATAATAGTAATAGCAGTAGTAGTAGTAATAATAGTAATAGTAATAGTAGTAGTAGTAGTAGTAATAGTAGTAGTAGTAGTAATAGTAGTAGTAAAAATAAAAATACTAATAATAATAATAACAATAATAGAAATAATAATAATAGTAGTAAAATAAATAAGAAGAGTAAAGGAGGAGGGGTGGTGTGCTCCTCTACCCCTTATTGTACAAGGCTTTTAATCTCCATACTGTCTAGGATTATTGCTTCACTTCTCCTGTCCCAGGAATGTCTCCCCAGGAGGATCTTTTTCTCATGCTTTCATCCCTAGCACTCTTTCAGCTGCTCACTTGTAGGATCTTTAGAGATAGTAGTGCTCTCCGACAAGTAAGTAGTTCAAGTTGAGTTAGTAGTAGTAGTAGTAGTAGTAGTAGTAGTAGTAGTAGTAGTTAGTAGATTAGTACTGAGTACTAGTACTCGTCCTAGTACTAGTAGTACTAGTATGACTAGTCCTAGTTAGTAGTAGTAGTAGTAGTAGTAGTAGCAGTAAAAATAATAGCAGTAGTAGTACTAATAGTAATAGTAGTAGTAGTAATAGTAGTCGTAATAATAGTAGTAGTAGTGGTAGTAGTTGTTGTTGTTGTTGTTGTTGTCGGCAACGCATGAGAGCACAGCAAATACTTTGATTTTTTGATTTTCGTTGAATGTTGAGACAGACGCCAGACGGTAACAGCGGCCAACGGACTTTTTCAGATCAAAGCGTATGCGCCCAAGCGCACATAGCTCTGCTTCCGTCGCTCGAGATTCGCCTGGTTGGGTTGCAATCAGAGAGCGCAAACCAAAGTTACATGTGACAGATGATGACGCAAGTCTTGTGGCTATGCTACGGCGCACCTCTGCTGCCTGCACGTCGCTTTGCAGCTCAGCAGATTGCAGGCGAACCTCTGCGTCTGACTCCATGTCCTAGCAGGAACGGAGATGTCGTGTGAGGCTGGTGGGATCAAGTGGCCTCAGATGGGATCCGTCTGCAAAGCAGCAGACCGACCTTGCCTCTTCCTCTCCGGCTTCCTGACCGGCAAGGTAATGGCAGTGGGAATTGTGTTGGACGCTTTGCATGTGGGAAATGTGCGGAGAGCAGCGGGCCTCTTCCACCCCGTCTTCCTGACATGGCAGTTTGACGGTGGGAGTGTGAACTTGGGAAATGAAACGCTAAGACGTCTCCGCGGCCTGGTGCGTTTCCTCCTCTGCTTCCATTACCTGACAGCATGCGGACGGACACGCAACGACGACTCCATGTCCAAGAAAACAGCAGCTGCGAACCTCACGATCATCCGCTCCTTCCTCGCCAGCCTGACAGCAGCATGGATGAGAAGCAGCTGTATACAACTAATTGAAAGCCACGCAAATGGTACGACCCTGCCTCCGAAATGCCATCATCTGCTCCGGACTCCACCTCGACAAGGCCACGTTAGTTCTCTAGCATTGTCGAACATATTTTTCTTGAGGTGATTACAGGCAGACCTTGAACTACGGCTCGGGCAGGCAATTTGAAAGCCTGGTCGCAATCATCCGCTCCTTCCTCGTCAACCTGACAGCAGCATGAACGAGAAGGAAGTATTATGGAAAATCGCGTAAATGATAAATCCGTGCCTCCGATGCGCGATCATCTGATAGGGACTCAACCTCGACAAAGCCAAGTTAGTATCCTAGCATTATCTGTGATATTTTCTTGCAATTAGACCTTGAACTAAGTGCCGGACACGCTGTTTGCAAGCCCGAAGTATTTGTGACGCAGGTCCGCCCCCAATATCGGGAAAATATGCTTTCATGGCGGCCAAGTCCCACGAAGCAAGGATGGAAATGTTGACCTGTTCTTTGAAGAACGATGGCCAGAAAGAGGCAAACCCAAGTTCGGTCAACAAAGATTTAAGTCCATCTGATGGCGCAGAAGGTCCTGCAGGAGCAGACGCGCTGCTGCGGGCCCGCTTTTGGGTTGGACGCAGAATGGATGGGACTTGTTGCCTCTTCTTTTTTGGGTTGCCAAGGACAGGCATTTCAGCCCGATCCATGCAGATGTGACCGCTATGTAGCCACGCAGCGTGAACGTGCTCGCAAGACCCATGAATGGCAAAGGTTGTACACCCAAAGCACGCAACTTGACGGTACGACGGCGCCCGGCCATCAGCAACTTGAACATGCCAGAACTGCTCAGCCACTTGTCCTTGCAACACAAGCACATGGTTGGAAAGGATGCGACGCAAAGGTTCCAAATCCAAAGAGCCGTCCGCAGTACAACCAAGGAGTCTCAAAGGAACAAACAAGGACGGGTCATCCCAGGCCAGATACAACGATCGAAGATGCTGCGACAAGCCAGCCGCAGGCTTCATCACTTTGTTGTCAGTAGCAGCAATCCATTTGCCCCTTTGTTTGTCATACTGTGCCAATGTTTTGCGCATGCAATACCACACACCTCCAAGCTCGTCAGCAAAAACTTCAAAGGCAGCAGTCCGGTGATACTGCATGGCGGAGGAACGGCCTAATTTGGTCAAGGCATCCGAGTCGTAGAGGACGAACTTGTCAGGGAAAGGCTCCACAGGCATATCTGGAAGCTCCGGACCTTGCAGCCGTAGCTGATCCAAGCGGGATGATGTGAATGATTCCAACGATTTCAGAAATGTTGGGAGATCTTGTCGCAAATGCCGGATATGCTTTTTGAGCTTGTGACGATGCCACGACTCCTGGGCTTGTGTTCCCGACGCCGAGCCTGGCTGAAGGCGGCAAAGTCCAGCCCACCAATCAGCCAGAGTCAGGCACTCGTGGTGTCGGATCCGGAATGACGCAGCTGGAACGGAAGTGAGGTAGTGTTGCCGCATAGCCCGTGCGCAAGCAACTTCATTGGCCTCTTGCATTTTTTCTAAGATCCTTTCAACAACAGCATGAAACAAGAAAGCAGACGGACAGGCCCGAAGAGCATACACCCATGTAACCAAATAACTGACCCAAGTCTTGTCCAAAGCATGCTTGCGCATGGTTTGAGGGAAGCCGGCCCGATAGGCCTGAATGGTCTCATCTCGAACAGGCCTCTGACGCGGCCGCACACAAGCTCCCATGAAATGCGCGAAGTCAGCAACCCGCATTGAGTCAGGGAAGCATTCTTTCCGGGCAGCATCCTCACCTGTGTGCCAATCACTGTGATACTGAACGACTCGAGGTGCTAAATCCAAGTCCATGCACTCTCGAGCGCAAGCTTTCCCAGCATCAAACAGCGCCTTGTATGTTTGCTTCGCCTCTTTGTTGACAACGGCAAACAGCAAAGGCCAATAACTCGATCGGAACGCATATGTTCCGTTGACAGGGGCATAGTGGCGAGCCAAAACACCAAGATTCAACAGAACCCATCCATCTTCCATGAGACGGAAAGTCCCATCACCGCATAGCTTCAGGTAAGCTTTGTTACTGAGGCGACCAAGCGTTTCCACAAACAGAGCTGGATTGACAAAGACAACGGAAGTGCTGTTCGGAGACAAATCATGCGACACAACAGCCAATCGGTTGGGGATTGCCTGCACAACGGACGACAAGGAGGGAACAGAGCGAAGCAATTGGTGCCAATCGAAGACCCGCCACGTGCGGTGGGAGACTTTGGGCCCTGTGTTGACTCTATGGTTTTTTCGCCACACTAGCAGAAACTTTTCATCTATTGGTCTTTCTGGCTGGTGCTTCTCGACAATGCTCAAGAGGTCTTGCGTGAACACATTTCGGTTGTGTTTCATATGTTCTTTTAAAGCGTGTTCGGTCTGGGCAGTCAATTCATTCCACTTGCGCACTTGGTCAAAGCTGCCATGGGCATTGCTGGGCGTGTAGCAGCGAGAAAGAGTGCGATCAACAAGATTGTATGTGCAATATGCGCTCCAACCTCCTCGAGTAGCACACTTAGTGCAACTGTTGCACCACAAGAACAGCTTGTATCCTTTGTTGTAATCATACCATTGGTGGCGAACAGCGATGCGGCGATCAGGGAGGAGCGTCGCCGCCCAATCTTTCTGAGCAGCTAAAAATTCAGGCCTCCCGCCAAAACCTTGCTCCAAGACAGTGTTCGGAGTTTCCAAGCTTCTTTCAGGCGCGGCAGCTTTGCGAGGGCGGCCAACACGTTTTGGGGCTGGTTCTGCCTTGGCTTTCGCTTTGGGCTGCGCAGGTCCCCGCCCGCGACCTTTGGCACCACCACGCATGATTGGAAAGGAGCCATGGCATGTGTGGGGGAGAACACCTGTGTCAGAAACAACGACCAAACCAGCACCTAAGCGATGAAATTCGACAGAGGCCACCAAGCCTGCAGCACCTGCCATGGGCGGCAACCGAACCTCATTGTCTGCTGCAGTGTTTCGTTTCCAAGATGCCTCTAGCAAGGAATAGGAAATCAACGAGAACGACATGGAAGCCAAGGACGCAAAAGGGTAGCAGGCAGAAGCTAACACATCCAAGGCACGTTGGCCCGAGCCTTCCATGGCAGGCGCAGAAGACCACAAGGAGTCTGGAACGGACAACTCACTCAAGATGTTTGCAATGGCGGGCGATAAAGGAAACCGATGGCCTTTTTTCCTGCTTACAGGGGTACACTTCACCTGGAACGGTTTCCCATGCACTCGTTCTGGATTGTTTTGCAACGCCGCGTTCAAAGCCTGTTCAACGGCTATGCTGGTGAGTGGGTCCACGGCCACATGTACAGGAGGAACCAACTCTTTTTTCTCTAATTTTTTTTTGCGGCCTGCATCCTTTTCTTCTGCAGGAGGGTTTTCATCTGCTTCTTGGGCTCTTCTAGCACGCTTTCCAGCACCAGCCATTGGAGGGCATTCAGCAGCAGCGGTGGAAGGCCTGGAAAGTTGCAAATTCAAGCGCTGGCGGAAAGTTGAGTCGATATTTGGTAAAGTCAACCGCAAACGCAAAGCTGCACCAGGGCTACCTTCCCGAACGCCAGCATGGTGTTGGGCTGCAATATCAAACAGACGGCAAATTGCCTGCTGATCAGAGCGAAATCCAAGGCGACGAGGCAAGATTTGGTTGGCGTTCTTGATGTTGATGTGGGATTGTTCCTGGCATCGCTGGAGAAGAATGCCTAAAGCCTCCTCGTCGGCATTCTGGGGCGGAGGTTCGCTGAGTTCCTGCGGTGACCCGGTGGCTTCTGCTGGCGATGCGGGCGAGGCCGGTTTTCGTCTAAGGCTGGAAGGCTGGAGGGCCTGCCCGTTCGCTTTGTGGCAATTTCATCTCATTGAAGCAACTTAAGATGCCGGTGACCATGAGATGAAGATGTTCCGGGGCAGCAAGGATGAGTTCTGGCGACAAGGGTTGGATTGATTCTGGCCAGCAAAGAACCGGCGCCACAGGTGCTGACTGCGAAGTGGGATCACGAAGGCAATCCAAATCGGCCCGGCCATCCTTGATGTCGAGGAAGGCCTGTTGCAACAAATGGCAGGCGGCAATGTGGGAAGTGGTTGTAAAGCAGTGCTTGCCCACAGCCCCAGCTGCGCAAGAAGGAACCGTGTCTTTATCTTTCTCAGCTTGGTGTCGGAACTTGGACCACATGGCAGCTGCAGGATCACTTACTGGGATTGGAGCAGACTCGAAACTCATCAAATCTAAAGTTTGGCCATAGGACATGCAAAGCCGAGCAAAAATATCGAGCAGGAATCTCGCAGCACCGCTGAATGTTACGTGTGGATTTTCAGGGTCATCTTCTGGTTGATCCCTGGGCCACAAGAAAGTTGGCCTGAATTCCCACCCCATGCCTCCAAAGGGACAATCCTTCATGAAAGCTTGGCCCCAGTAGTCATGCACAACTTTGGGCTGACCAGCATGAAAGAAAGCAAAGTTCGTGGTGGGGACGAAAAATTGCTCTGCATTAATACTCATTGGGCCATACGAGTTTCCATTTTGAGTATTTTGCAAAAAGGAATGCTGCACTTTGCGATCACTGTGAGCGACTCGACCTTTTCCCTTTGCCCAAGCAATATCCAAGGCACTCCAAGCCTCCTCAGACACCCAACATAAATGGCCGTGGCTTGCTTTCATGCGGCGAGCAAAGTCGCTGTTCGTGCATTGCTGCACAAACAGCGTTTTGTCTTTACCAGGTCCGGGGCTGACGAATTTGTCAGGAAAGGTGTCCACGAGGCAAGGACGCGAAGGACAATGACTGACGAAAACTGCGTCCACGAGCTGCCGAAAAAATGGCGATTTGCCGCAATTGCTTTCTGCCACCAAAAGGGCGAATAAGCGAGGCCGCACCTCGTGCTCCGGCTTGAGGGGGTTGAAGCAGATGTGGAGCGAGCGGTGGCAAAGCCAGGGGGCGATAGTCAAAGCAAATCCAGCTGGGAATTCCCTGGCTATGCCAGCTCTTTCTGCAAAGATGGACAGCACGGCTAGAAAGAATGGAAGCAGCTTCATGACATTCAGTTGGCTGTTCCACGCATCTTTGATGGTGCCTTGGAAAGTCACGCTGTCAGCGGCCCGTTGTCGCCAAAGTTCCAGCTCATGATCAAAGAGCAAGCCCAAAGACAAGGAGAAGTGATGTGGCTGGACAGGCCAGTCACGAGGCAAAGCGTGGAACAAAGCAGCTAATGCGCGCGTATCCCTTGGATTAAGTTGTTGATGTTGCGAATAAAGCGTGGCAACTGTGGTTTCTAACACTTGGCGCCTTGCACGCCAAAATTCAGCCACTCGATCTTCAACCGGCAGCAATACCGGCGGCGAGGGCACCAATAGCTGTGATGAAGGCAGGACGGGCGACCTAGACCGGCCTCGCCTGGGAGAACACACGAGGCGGCATGCCTCGGCGATAGCACGAGGCATATCGCCGGGGAATCTTTCCAGCGCTTGTTTTGCCACTGCACGAGGAATCTCAACGGGGCACTGTTGCTGCAGGGACTCAATGTCTGACTGTGGCAGGCTTTGCATCTCGACATCGCTGTCACTGTCGAGGGTTAGCGGCACGGATCCTGAAGTTGCACGAAGACTCTGGAACCGATCTCTTCCAGCACCGCGCATATCTGGCAATGGATTGGAAGGTAGCCATTTTGGGAAAAAAGGCAATGGGCTTTGCTTTGGCACGCTTGAAAGCTCAGCGTGGGCAGGCGGCGAGACAAAATCCACACAAGGAGCACACACGAAGAGTGAACTAGAAGCCGAGGCATGCAAACTGCCTTCGCCCGACGAATTGGCTATCTGAATCAATGTATCTCTTTCTTGTGACATGGAAGGAGACTGAGAAACCCTACACCGAGGGTGTAAGCACTCTGACAAAGAGAATGACGCGCACAAGTCACAGTCACTCACGCCTGCCGCTGGCCTAGACGAAGGTGTCAGTGAAGCAGGCGACAAGGCTGGGGACAACGAGAAAGCCGGCCTCAGCGGGTCGAGCCAAGTAGCAGGAACCGACAAATCCAAACTAAATGGCAGTGTGGGGGACGGCGTGGTCATCTCTTTCATTGGCAACGGACTTGACAACTGGGGCGACCGTGGCTGAATGGAGGGCTGCCATGGAAGAGGTGTCAACGGAGCCGAACTGGAAGCAACAGCACCATTGACATCTGAAGAAGTATGCAATGGCTCTGTCTGGTCGATGTAACCGCAAACACAAACCCCATAAACACCAACACAGGAACATCCATGCAACCAGGCCGACGGTACAGAAACTTGCCGCAAGCACAAGCATTCCAACAAACCAAACATACGGCAAACCTCGCAAGGGTTTTGACCGAATGGAGAAGAAGATACGTGGGAAGCAGCAAGTGAATCCCCAGACAAAGAATCTAGCCATGTAACAGGGACATCAGGGACATCCAAATCCAGATCGACAGAACTTGGGGAGCACGACAGGCATTCATGTGGATGAGGTGTTTGCAGTTGGGACGGTGAAAAAGATTTGAACGACTGCCATGGGAGCGGCGATGCATCTGGAGACAATGACAGCTCGGAAGAAAGCGGTTGGTGACTTGGAACAGAAGAACCACAAAATGGCGGCGACCCGGGAACGGGCTCCGCAAGCTGCCAAGCTGAATTGCTAGTGTCTGAACTTAAGTCGATACACTGCAGCGAACCACTTGGAACCAAAGAGGCAAAACATTGCCGGGACCCGGGCACTTGCTCTGCAAGGTGTTCAGAGCTGCTACTTGGCGACCTTAAATCAACACAGCGTGGCATGGGAACAGAAGCAGACTGGCAAGGCAATGCTGCGACATCACCACGCGGCTCCCAGCTGTCCAAATCAATAAGATTAATAGACCTGTCAAAGCGCAGTCTGAAAGCCCCGCCAGCCATGTGAAGCAGCGAAGAAGTAGAAACAGGGCATGATACTGGATTGACAGCAGATGAACTCAAACAAAAGTTCACACGCGGACAATTCGCGCGCACGGAGTCAAAAGGTGGCGCCTTCAAGACTTGGCATGCCTCATAATGGCCGACGCTTACATTGCTTGGCTGCGTATATACCATTGCATGCGTTGCAGGGAAAAGGCTTAACCACTCACCAGCTTTAGCGAAAGTCAGCTTCTGAGCCGGACAGGATGGCAAGAACAACAAGCAGCAAGCGGCAGGTTTATGCAAGACCAGAAGACCAGTAGGATACCAGTGTGGAAGCGCAGAGACCAGCAGCTGAACGTGCTGCGTGTTAGTGACGGGACTGAACACATCCAAAGGCAAATTCAAACCCATGGCTTCTCGCATAGCAGTGGCTGGGCGCTGTTGAGTGAGGTGGGCATGGGAGGCCCACCAACAATGGTGAGACGCTCCATTTGCTACTGGGCGATACAGCCAGCCAGGGACAAATGGTAGAAAGGCCGATTTTCTTTCACCATGCTGCTGCTTGCGCTTCAACATCTTGCACACCGGAAGAGTCGGGAACAAGCACGGACGCAAAGAGGAATTCCAAGGAATGCAGCCCGGCCCATTGGCAACACGCAAAGTCGACGGTGGAGCAGGAAGGGAACGACAAGAACGTACAGGACCCACAGCATCCAAATCCACAACGATCAGGCCAGGATTGACTTGAAGATCGGTGGAGTTTGCGAGTCGTAGGAAATGGCTTTCAACCGCACCGCAATCAAGAGAGGCCATGGAGAAGCCGTGGGACGGCTCAGCAACAGAATTTGCCAGGAAGACTTCGCCTGGGTGGGCCCAAGAAGATGAAGCAAAGGAAGAACAAGAGTCAAAGAGAATGGCCTTTTCACGCACACAGACCAACGAGGAACGCGGAGCGAGGTAGGCAGGACCCAGCCACAAAGGAGACGATAACCTCGGTGTAAGACAGTGCATGTCATCAGAAAGGCAGAAGGAAGAGCTGAGGCACTTACAGAGACACAGCCGGCATGGCGGTCAAGGAGTACCTCAGTTGGAGCGGGCCAAAGCAAGGTATGGCTATTCATGCTTCGCAAGGAAACATGCATCTGCTCAGGATTGGGCCGGGACAGAATGAGCGCGAGACGTTGAAGTCACACTGCACAAGACGGCTGCAGACATGTGAGACACGAAGACATATACTGATACTATAATTACCTTTCCCTTCCATGCGCGCTCGGACAATTTCATTATTGACACATGTTAAGGGATGGTAGGCCAAGGAGCGAGTTGTCCATCCCATCTGAAGAGGTTTCCGTTAACAAAGAGATTCCATGCACGAGCAGTTGGTCGCATCTACGTCGACAGGAGATTCTTTATCTATACGTGTCCGTGCGCGCGTTTATGTGTGGCCAATATTTTTTCTCAATGTACAGTTTAAATTCTTCCTTGTCGTTTGCGTTGTTTACGCTTACAGTATGTTCGGTTGCTTGGTTGCTTCACCTTTGTGGCATTGTCGCGGGCAACAACAAAAACAGAACAGCATAGGTGGGCCGCATCATCCACCTTTGTGACATTGTCGCGGGCAACAGCAAAAACAGAACAGCATAGGCTAGGTGGGCCGTATCATCCACCTTTGTGGCATTGTCGCGGGCAACAACAAAAACAGAACAGCATAGGTGGGCCGTATCATCCACCTTTGTGGCATTGTCGCGGGCAACAACAAAAACAGAACAGCATAGGTGGGCCGTATCATCCACCTTTGTGGCGTTGTCACAGCACGGAAGCACAGCAAGCATGCTGGGTGGTTGAGGGGTGAACGCTTGCTTGGTTGGTTTGTCGGGTGGTACATACCGAAAACAATAGCAGCACGCTCAGCAGCCCCAACCTGGAGAAGCTTCGGCCCTGCCTCAGCCCGTCCATGTCGATGGGGTTACCTTGCGAACTGGTTGGCGGGCCGTATCATCCACCTTTGTGGCATTGTCGCGGGCAACAACAAAAACAGAACAGCATAGGTGGGCCGTATCATCCACCTTTGTGGCGTTGTCACAGCACGGAAGCACAGCAAGCATGCTGGGTGGTTGAGGGTTGAACGCTTGCTTGGTTAGTTTGTCGGTTGGTACATACCGCAAACAATAGCAGCACGCTCAGCAGCCCCAACCTGGAGAAGCTTTGGCCCTGCCTCAGCCCGTCCATGTCGATGGGGTTACCTTGCGAACTGGTTGGCGGGCCCTATCATCCACCATTGTGGCATTGTCGCGGGCAACAACAAAAACAGAACAGCATAGGTGGGCCGTATCATCCACCTTTGTGGCGTTGTCACAGCACGGAACACAGCAAGCATGCTGGGCGGTTGAGAGTTGAACGCTTGCTTGGTTGGTTTGTCGGTTGGTACATACCGCAAACAATAGCAGCACGCTCAGCAGCCCCAGCGCCTCCCCCCGCAAAGCGTCACATGAGTGGTGTCCACAAGATTACTCTATATCTCTCTTGAGCCTTGAGAGCGTATATAAATGTGCTCAATACTCATGCAGTACCCACGTAGGATGCAAGTTAAAGCAAAAACACGGAAGCACAGCAAGCATGCTGGGTGGTTGAGGGTTGAACGCTTGCTTGGTTGGTTTGTCGGTTAGTACATACCGCAAACAATAGCAGCACGCTCAGCAGCCCCAACCTGGAGAAGCTTCGGCCCTGCCTCAGCCCGTCCATGTCGATGGGGTTACCTTGCGAACTGGTTGGCGGTTGGCGGGCCGTATCATCCACCATTGTGGCATTGTCGAGGGCAACAACAAAAACAGAACAACATATAGGTGGGCCGTATCATCCACCTTTGTGGCGTTGTCACAGCACGGAAGCACAGCAAGCATGCTGGGTGGTTGAGGGTTGAACGCTTGCTTGGTTGGTTTGTCGGGTGGTACATACCGAATACAATAGCAGCACGCTCAGCAGCCCCAACCTGGAGAAGCTTCGGCCCTGCCTCAGCCCGTCCATGTCGATGGGGTTACCTTGCGAACTGGTTGGCGGGCCCTATCATCCACCATTGTGGCATTGTCACAGCAGGCATGGCAAAGACAGGCACGGGGAAGCAGAAGTTAACACAAGTTGCGGACGATGGTCATAGTTAGCATTCACACCATCATGTTCACCACATCATCGTGCCAACCCCAACTAATGTATTTACGAGCTTGGAATTAAATATAAAGCAGGGAGGGCAAAGCAGATTGGAAACACCTATTTTCACATGCAAGGTGCTGGTTTAGTTTAAATTTATTTGGGTTTATCTTCTGGATTTGTTTAGGGTCTATTTAGGGTTGGGTTATGGGTTATTTAGGGATACAACATGTACATACAAATAGCTATAATTACGTGATTATTTATAGTCTACTTTGGGATGAAAGCTGTGTATAAAAATAAAAACAACCACACATATGTTATATATATATATATTTAACATATGTATATATATGTCTGTATATCTATAAGTAAATATGCATGTGCATCTATATATAAATCGTTGTCACAAGCCCGCGGGGGAGGCTTTAACATGGAGGGGGGCGCGGGGGGAGGGCGCAGCGCCTCCCCCCGCAAAGCGTCACATGAGTGGTGTCCACAAGATTACTCTA